ATCCCAGGGTGAGGATTAAAAAAAAAAATCTATATAAATGTGTTTTAAAAAGGAATAATCTCTCTGATTAAAATAACAGCTAATGCAAGTTTTAGAGCAGACTATATGTTATAATTATTCAATGGCTTTAAAATAACTTGGCATTGTTCCCTAAGTTGAGGCATTATTGCTTAATTGCAGGTGAGTCATTTCCCCAGTCCAGAGCAATTAATCAGTGTTTCCTAAACTTGCCTAAAATAGAAACCACCTGGAGTTTTGTCAAACATACAGATTCTTGGGCCCACCCCAGACCTATTGAATTAGAATTCTAGGGCAGGCCTGTGGAATCAGTATATTCATTAAGCATCACAGCTGGATCTTATTTTCAGCCAGGTGTGGGAAATAGTTTGTATTCCTTGGACAGTGTACTTAACGTTTTGAATTTCTATTTTTATTGAGTGATCAGAATAGAGCTTTATCAATGGAAGAACTGGGTTATGAAGAAGCACTCATGGACTCCTAGACTACAAACCAAAGCATGTTCTATTTCATGTAAATACATCTTGTTATCTGAAAGAAATTCCATATATACTTACATATTTTCCTTTATGCATTCAGGTGCAGCAGAAATTTTTATTCCTTCAATAAGAGCCCAAGATTAGTTCATTACCACCTTGAAAAAAGAACATAAGAAGAAAAATGTCTCTTATTGAATATCTCATGAGGTATCAGGCATGATTCGAATAGTTGGTTTATGTAAATTACTACTCTTAAAAATTCACTAGTTGTATGAGTGTTTTACCTCCATTTTACAGATGCAGAAACTGAGTTTAATACATTTTCCCAGGGTCATTCAGTGTGCAAGCTAGACAGGAGGCAAATCCACCAAGGACATGTTCTTAACATGATACCAGCCTTTAGAGTTTAAATGGCAAGTCAAGGAATTCAAATTCACTAGCCAAAATAATCATGTATTTGGGAAAATTTCTTCTCTTGGAGGCCAAAATAAGAGGTAAATTTTTCATATATTTGGCCTGAGACAGAGGGGGAAGAAAGGACAGGAGATTTTAGAAAGTCTAATTGCCTCTTACAGGATGATAAACCACTTTTCTCCTTGTGATCTCTTAAAAATTAACTTCCCCAAAGGACAAATGAGAAAAGTAAATAGAATTGTAGCTCTAGATACGTAATATGTATGTAATAGTCTGAACCTGACTTTTCAGACAGCACTGTCTGCATTTTGTGATGTCTTTTCTTTCTAAGTATGTGGGAATATTTGCAGATTTTATATGTATATAAAATCTGGAAATTATATATATTTATATATAAATATATATTATATATATATAAAATATATATTATATATATAATCTGGAAACAGATTTTACTACAATTCATTTTGTTGCTTATTCCCCCATGCTGTTTATTCTGGTTGAAGTGGTCATAGCCAGAAACAAAACTTTTCCCTTTGGGATTTCTTGTTTTAAAAACTCCTTTTTCAAAGAATTTGTTTAGACTTGGAAGCTGTTGAAAGGTGCCAGATGGATAGCCTTGGAAGCTATTTATCTGCAGAGGAGGACAGGTGTAGATGGGGCATCCTGGGCTGCCCACGCAGCCCAGCTTAGGACCTCTCGCCCTCCGGGGTGACAGTTAATATTACGCCAGGATGTTAAGAGGACTCCCTGAAATAAAAGTGGACACTACAAGTCAGCCGCACATTCCTTTGTTGTCACCATTGTCGTTGATGTGACAGGCTACGACTGTCTCATTCAATACTCCTTAAAGTCTGCTGCTAAGGAGGATCTTGGAGGATTCAGTACAGTACAGGGATGCAGGATGAAGGAGAGAGCAGGTGATAAAGTGGGGAGGATGGTGAAAAATAGTCTGAACTTGACTTTTCAGACAACGCTATCTGCATTTTGTGATGTTATTTCTTTCTTTTTCTTTCTAAGTATGTGGGAAAGGCCAAACCATCACACAAATACTGGCCCCAACCTTAGTGAGTGGCTGAACCAACCGTAGCATCCGCCTTTTTCCATATTTCTTGTCTTTATGAGCAAAATATATTATTTATGCCATTATTACTTGGGCTCTCTTTTATTTGGTGGCAAAAACATTCATTCCTAACTGAATCAGGAGGAGAATGGAATTGGAGAGGTGAGGTATATCTTTGCAAGTTAACTGTTGGAAGAAGTTTGTGTGAGGCAGAAATTGAATAAACGATGGTAAAGAGCAACAGCATTGTCTGGGCCATAGTATATGCTCAATAAATATTTTTAAAAAAATACGATGGTCATATGACTCCTATAGGACTTTTGTGGATGTAAATTGACATGAAATAATCCCTATTAATATCCCAGCCACTATTTACAATTTTGAGTCAGGGCTATTGATGGTTGTGGCTATCACAGAGCACTTATTTTTACATAATTATACACACAAGGAGAATCTTCTTAGGGTTACGCCAATGCCTTTTAAAGAAATTAAGCGATCTTAGTTACAGAGCACTTCATTACATTTAAAATCTGAGGAGATAGCAATGAAACTCAGCTGGTCTTGTAGAAGTATTTACTATGAACGATGGGAAAGCTTCTTTGAAAGCAATTACATCATTTGGGGGGCATTTCTGATCAAGCCATTCCTGGCATAGCTTGCAACTGCCTGGCACATGGAAGATAAAGTTCTAACATTTCAGCTTTCTTGGAAGATGAATAGATAGTTTTAACAATTTTTGTCTGTATTTTGTGACATCAATTATAACAAATTATATGTGTTACCAGAAAATAAAATATGTATTAAAATTATCAGAAAATAAAATATGTATTAAAAATGATTGCTTAATTTTAATTTTGTGATGAGGAAGGAAGAGGGCTGCAATTAAAATAATAGAAATGGTTTCTCCCTTCTTTCTTGCCACACTCTCCAAAACAAAAATTTTCCTGAGGTTTTGAGAGAAATTCCTGCAGAAATTGTATGACATAATGGAATGTTTTATTTATTTTTTCACTTAATAATAGTCATAAATAATAACCAAATATTAGGGATTGCAAACCTTGAAATGACAGAGTGCTTTTGGTTCATGTACTTGGATACTTTATTCTTGGCTTCTCTCAAAGTGTGAGATTATGAGAGAGACTAGATAAGACATACGGGGAGAAAAAGTTCCTGATTACTGGCAGAAATATAGCCACAGAGAGCCGTATGTGTAATAAAAAAGAATATCTCAACTGCAAAAAATAATTCAAGCTTTTCTATCCATATGGGCAACCCCCTGGGTGGGCTGATTTTGTACATCAATCAGACGCAAAGGACAGGTCTAGAGATTACAAAGAAAATAAATACATTTGTGGGTCAGAAATGTCTCACTTGGTCTAAACTAACGGCTTTTTTCTCACTCATTTTCACTAGTTGGCGTGTGTGTGTGTGTGTGTGTGTGTGTGTGTGTATCTATATCTGTTTTTTCTTTGATCAGTAATACATTTATCATTATCTTTGATATAGTGTAATTTTAAAATACAGATTGCATTTATTCAGATTTTTGAGTTGCATTTCTTTATACGCTCTCCTTTCTTTAAAAGGACAAGTGGTGGTTTATTTAAAGAGGACACACACACAATACATTTGCATATTTGCTTCATAGGCTTTTGGTAAAAGTTTCTTGTTAATTCAAGAAATAGTCCTTGTACACCTATTGTGCTCAAGGCATCTTGGGGTTTATTGAGGTGAATAAAATGAGGCCCTTGATGCTTGCATCTTGGCCAGAAGCAGCTAACTTTTAACAGGAGGGTAACAACACTGGTTGCACATCAGAATCACCTAGGAAGTTTAAAAAAAAAAACACACCTGCCCAGGCTCCAGCTCTCAGCTTAGGGAAATCTGATAATAGGCAGGGCCAAGGTGTGTGCAGTTTTAGCAACAAGCTCCCACAGTGAATCTGATACATAAACCAGAATTAGGACACACAACTTTAAGCTAAGAAAGGACTAATTGCAGTAGTACAGCCACAAGTCAGCCAGGTAGATGTCCTTGAAACCTACAGTATAGCAGCTGGCTGAAGTCATTTATAGGGCTGTTCTTCTCCATTTCCACTGCTTCAGAGGGGGTAGTTACAATCAGAAAAACACCCCACAGGAAGGGGTTGGGCCCAATTTTTTCTGTAAAACCCCTGGAACAAGACTGTTATTAAGCAATAAGATTGCTACAGCCAAAGATCATCTCCAAAGCCACTCCAATCACTGTCCTTATTTTCATCTCACATGAGATATGCTTATTTGTGTAAATTTTCTCCTTCACTAGATTGTGAAGTATTCCAGAGCGGGAGCAATCTTCTTTCTTTCTCCCACTAAGGAACATACTAACCCAAAAATAACTGACAGGTGTTTGTTTCGAATTGAATTGAATTCTCATCCAACTCTTGGGGTCTGTATATGTGTGCATATATTCACAGTAGACATTCATAAATATACATAAAAGTATATATTTGTTTAAAAAACATTTCAATCACATGAAAGATAACATACATAAGGAAGAAAGAACAATAAAACAAGCACCCATGGACCTACACCCCAGTTGATGAAACAGAGGTTGCCAATACCTTAGAGGTCCCCTGTTGAACAGTAACAAGCTTCTGAAATTTAGATCCTTTTGAACAGTAACAAGCTTCTGAAATTTAAATCAGAATGCTTATATTCAACCATCAGTTGGTTGGATCATTCATTCATCTGTCAAATGTGTCAGAATTGATGTTGACGCGGTGGCTATTTCTACTGTTGGAGTGAAGAGGGTCAAAAGTGACCTAAGCTGCCCCTAGAGGTGTACAGATCGCCTTTGCTACTTGCAGTCCTACCCTGTCGGGGCCCTCCAGAGCTGGCGAGGTTTCTGCGTGCGGACGCTTTGGGCAGAAACTACGGGTCCCGGCAGTCTGCGGGGCCTATGGGCGGAGCCGGGCCGGGCTCGGGGGCGGGGGCCGGGGGGCGGAGGCCGGGGCCGGGGGGCCGGGCGAGAGGGGGCATTGTGTCGGGAGCGCGGAGCTGCATTTGTCTGCTAGAGGTGCTCGCGGAGCGAGCGTTGTGTTCAGCGGTAGTGGGCTAGGAGTGTCAGTAGTGGCCGTGGCACGGGTGGGAGATTGAGTCGTAGGAACCACGCGCCCGCTGTCCACGATCGCTGGCAGGGAGCGGCGTGCCAGCGGAACAACATGCAGATAGGCGCCCTGCGCCCTGACGACCCCTCCAGAGGAAAAGAGGCCGGTGCGGCACTGGGGCTGCAGGGAGCATGAAGGAGGCCGGGGGTCGGCTCGGCTTGGAGCGCTGCTAGGGAGCGGTGCTCACGGCACAGTTGCCGGGGCGCAGCGGAGGGCGGGGAGCCCGGCAGGTCGCGCCAGCGGGCGGCAGCCGGTAGCCCAGAGCTGTTCTGATTTCTGACGCGGACGCGAGGGGCCCGGAGCAGCCCCCGACCCAGGCGTGCTGCCAACATGGGCAACGCGGGGAGTATGGATTCGCAGCAGACCGATTTCAGGGCGCACAACGTGCCTTTGAAGCTGCCGATGCCCGAACCAGGTGAACTGGAAGAACGATTTGCCATCGTACTGGTGAGTTCGCCCCGGCGACGGTCGGGCGCGGGCTCCGGGCCGGGCGTCACAGCTGACCCCCACCTCCTCCCCTTCTCCTCGCGCCGGGAGCGAGCCTTCTGTCCCAAGGGGGAGGCGCCCACCTTCCCCATTGTGGCCTCCCCCGCCTGCACCTCGTCCCTCTTAGAGCCGTGCTCAGCCCTCTCGGGGTCCCGGGATGGAGCCGAGGGCTTGGGGCGGGCTGGCCGGCCATCCCTGAACCCATTGTCTGGCGGGAGAGGCACCTCGCAGCGTGAGTGCCCTGGAGGTGCGTCGTGGGCGTGAAGGAAAGGTGGCTCAGGCCCGGGAGGAGGGGATAGCGAACCGCTAAGGCTTTTTGTTTAAAAAAAAACAAAAACAAAACAAAACAATCCAAAACACCAAGACAAAACCCTCCCTCAAGCTCCGCGTCCCTGTGGACCATCCCGCGGGCGCTCAGCCCCAGGCCTGCGGGGTCCGGGGCGAAGGGGTGCATGTGGCCGGCCGCCGGCAGCGCGCTGGGCGGTGCGCGAAGGCGAACTTGGAGGCGGAGAGGAGATTCCCTGAAAGGGAAAGAGAAGGAAACCCGCAGCAGTGAGGCGTCCTGGTCCCTTAGTGAGCAGCGGGCATCTGTAACCCAGGCGATAGAGAAGCTTCGCCTGAGCGCGTTCTTTTGGTCTTAAATCTTAAACCACAAAAATGTGCTATTTTGCGAGGACGTGTTGTGAGCTGTTCTGACTCCGGGGCGACCCCTCCCCTCCCATACCCAGCCGAGTTCCCAGCTCCCTTCAGAAATCCGCTTCTCCTAGTTTACAGCTTCTCAAATTCAAGACTGAAGACTCCCTTCTTTTTCCCTTTTCTGCTGGGACCAAGTTTCTGGGCTCCTCCCTGCCACAGCTTGTCAGTGCTGTGAGCTCAGGAGGGTGTGGTGGCCTTTCCCTCGCCCCAGCTAGAGTCTGTACTGCAGTTGGTCCCCAGACTTAGATTTTTAGTGTCCCAGCCTCTTTTGAGGGATGTTGGGAGGGAACCGGGCAAGATCGGACGCGTTACTATTCCATATATTTACTTGTACATTTCCCTTTTCCTAGTTAGTTACCTCCGAACTCTACAAGGCTGGAAAGAAAGTGGAACTTATGCTCAAGGCAGCCACATTTTGCGTTTGCATACGGGTTTTTGGCATGTAACCTCACTACCTTGAGAAAGGACCAAAGTCTGAACACTGACTGGGACATTTCAGCTGTCTTTCTTCAGGCCCGGTTCGATATGGGGAATAATGCTCTGCATGGCAGGTTAGCTTTGTGCTCTTTGGGAGAAGAGAGGCCGTGAGCTTTTTCACACCACCGGGAACCTGGTGTGGCGGTCGGGAGATAGATGAGGCTGCCTGTCTTGCTTTGAATCTACTGTGATCTCACACCGCGACTCCCACCTTGTGCAAGATGGGACGCTCTGAAATAAAACAGCACAGGCTTAATTGCTTCTCAAGGCAGTCTGGGTGCCTACATATCTTTCCAGAGACAATCCTTTTTATTGAAAATCTCCTTCCTACCAGACACATGGTTCTTACCCCCAGCTCTGGGTTTTCTGCTTTTCCATCCATGCTGTGGTGCTCTGTGCCGGGGGGGGGGGGGGGGGGGCGGGGGGCGGAACGCGGGGGGGGGGGCATGGCGGGTATATGGACTTGAAGTGGAAGGGCCAGTGACACTGGAAAACCAGATGACAGTAATTCAATCAAGTTCTGCTCAACTGGGGTAGTATGTTTTGCATGAGCTCTCAGTTACCCTGCTGATTAATAACACATGGTATGAATTACTCTTTAGAAAAATAATGTTTTGTTATTAACATGGTTGATTTTTGTTACCATTAAGTCTAGCAGCCACAAATTTAGTGTGTAGACATTTCTGATTCTACATCACCACCTCCTTGGGGCAATGGTTGGTTGTTGTGGCTACTTTTGCTCAGCTTACACCTAATTAGGAAATGTGGTTCCTTTTGTAACTGTTCACAATATTGTAAGCCTATCAAAACAAACAAAAAACAAGAAAACACCAGGCTGGCCTTTTCTGAGTAGAGACAAAAGCTTTTGGGAAGGTCTCAGCTTGGAGGCCCTCCTGTTAGGGATGCACTCAGCTCATGGAAGCGGTGTTTAATGTAACTCTCCTTAGCCAGCCACAGCTGCTCTTTGAAAACCTGACGAATACGGGGGGACTTAAAAGGACTCTTTGGATTGATAGAAGTTCAGAGTTACAGTGATTTCTGCTCAGTTTTCTGAAGCTGTGCATTTGATGCTCTCAACTTCGCTTTTCTTCATGAATTACTTAAGAAATCAGCTCAAACCATTTAATTCTGTAGATCAAGCTTGAAGGACACATTTTAAATTGGCAAGTTTTTTAGCATATATGTGGAGAAATTTTTCTGCCCTGAGACAGTGGGAATCATTTTGGCATTATTGATCCTAGTGTTTTGTTTTTTTTAATCCTCACCCAAGGATATGTTTATTGATTTTAGAGAGAGAAGAAGGGAGGGAGAGGGAGAGAGACAGAAACAGAGAGATGGAGATTGAGAGAAATATCTGAGAGAAACATGGATCAGTTGCCTCCCGCACCCGCCCTGCAAGTGCCCCTACTGGTTATTGAAACACCGCAGTGTAGTTATGTGCCCTGACCAGGAATCCAACCTGCAGCCTTTTGGTGTAGGGGATGAGACTGCAACCAGCTAAGCCACCTGGTCAGGAGCTAGTTTTATTTTCCGATGTGATAAAGATCATATGTATTTTAGGAGGAAAACCAGATAGTAATACTGTACAGAAAATTATATAATCCCCTCATTGTAAGTATGGTTTACATCAATAATTAAGGAGCCATTTCAGGCATGAAAAACAATTCCTTCCACCCCCAAGCTCTAGAATATTTAAAGCATTGGGGAAGAGTAAATAAAAATGACAGAAGTCCATCTATTTCTGCAAAACTTGAGAGAACAAATCTGCTCAATGACTGTTCCTCCAGCCCCCTTCAGTCTATATGAGTTAAATTGTATAAATCTAAAAAATTAGCGTCTGTGAATGGAAGGGTGAGAGAAGGGAGTGAAAGGCTGCTGAATTAAGGTCAGTGGAGGGGTAGACTTTTAAAAGTAATAGTTTTTATAGGAAAAAATGAGAATTTAAAATAGATTTGTGTTAACTGAACTTTCTTTAATGAGTAGTAAAAAATGGATCCAAACCTTAGAAGCTTAATCCTCCTAAGGAGAGTCTTCTCCTACCCCCATCCCTGAACTTGTCTTCAGCATTGTTAGAATAATAGTTATAAAACTTACATTTACAGGGAAAGCTTGCTGACTCCTTATATACATTTAAAGCTATTTGCATCCTTGTACTTGGCTTTTAGTTAGAGCTCTTAGTGATAGGCCTTTGTGTATGTGCACATGTGTGTGATGATTCTGTTACACTCTTTGATAGAAGTATTTCATAAATTATAAATTCAGTTGTCTACTTCAATTTTTGTTTCTTTAGCGTGTATCTATTTTATGTATTTTACAGGTAACATTGGAATCTCACATTTATAATTAAATATCTGTGTGGCTCTCCATTATTAAACACAGCCTAATTGTTGGGAACACACACGCACACACACTCACTCCCATGTCCTTTATTTTGAAAGAAGATGATTTTTGGGTGTGATGAACAACTGATGGTCTTGGTCCAAGAATACATCTTTCTATGTAAGACACTCGTAATATTTAGTAATTTTTGGCTTGCAGTCCGGTCACTGTCCCCCAATGTCTTTGTGAAAGCCTTCTCCCAGCTGTTATATTTCTGTGGTATCAGGTATCAGGCTGCTCAGCCAACAGATTGAAAAGGACAGATTAGGAAGTGATGGCTCAGGGTAGTATTGTCTCATGTTTGATACCGGGAAGTACTTTGGTATGTAATTAATTTGAGTTAGTTTCCTTTCCTTTCTCTCTCCTTCCCTTCCGCCCTCCTTTCCTTCCTTCCATCCATCCTCCCTCCCGCCCTCCCGCCCTCCTGCCTTCCCCTCTCCCTGTCTCTCCCTCCCCCTTTCCTTCTTCCTCTGCTTGCCTTGAGGTTGAATATGGTCATTTTGCCTTAGGAAGAAGTGGGAACATTTTCTGAGTAAGTACTATGAGTACACCCTGTGCTTACTGTTCCCATTTAATCCTAAGAATAACTCCAGGTATCAGTCACATTGTAGATGAGGAAACAAAGATTACTTAATCTGCCTGAGGTCACAGACTAGCCAATCTAGAATTTTAACCCAGATTTGGATCTTTGGACCCCACTTCATTATATTATACTTCCTTGGACCTAGAACTGGGAAGGAAGGAAAAAAAAAGGGGTGGGGGGACTGGAACTGGCTGGAAAGCTGTTAAAGAAAAAAAAAAACCACCTAAATCTGGTAAATGCAAGTGTCAAATTGTAGAAAATTGGCAGAAATTTCCTAGAAGTGACTGGAGCGGGGTACATTTGATGTTTTTCTTCACATTTTGGCATCTTCACTATGCTGTTCTTGGCATTAATACTGATTTGTTCTCAAAGTGCGCTCTTCAGTTTTTCCTAACTGGGCAGACTAGAACTACCTTGGTGCGGAAGTTTAGGCTTTCCACATCAGAAGGAAGAGGTAATCTGTCAGTGTAGTGTGTACACTCCAAACGTAATTACTTTTGAAAGGGACAAGGAAGGTCAAGTTTTACCATTTACGTTTATTTCCCTCTGCAAGGTGTTGCTCCCTTTCAACCACTTCCAAGGAGCACTCTTGCCATGAAGTCTGCTGAACAGATGGATGGGTAGCAGTGAAGGGAGGCCGTCATCAGATGCATGCTGATTTGTTTTCTCACATCCTTTCTCCTCATGTGAGGGAGGGCGGGGGAGGGGGAGCATTGTCACTTTGAGCCACTACAGTCCCATCTGAGGCAGTAATCCCCTGGCTGTTTTATTCTCAAACATAGAAACGTGTGCTTAGGACTGTGCCCGTTCTCATCGTTATCGGGGT